ACCCGTTGAGCGCCGCGGCGGCGACGACGGCGGGCGCCGACAGCGCGCGGAGCCGCGAGAAGTCGACGGCGGCGCCGTGGAGCTCGTAGGCCGGCGCGAACAAATCCATGGCCGGGCCCGACACGGCCTCGGCGGCCAGCGCGAGGACCACACCCACGAGCAGCGCGGACCGCACGATCGACGAGCCGAGCGCGAGCGCGCCGGCCTCGCCGCCGCCGCCGGGCTTGAGCTCCGCGGCGACGAGCGGCGTGCCCGCCGACGCGAAGCAGTTCGTGCACGCGAAGACGAAGCCGAAGAAGGACGTGGAGGCGGACACGGCCGCGAGCGGCGCGGCGCCGCCGCCGCCGAGGCCCACGAACGCCGTGTCGACGACGTTGAGGATCGGGTCGAGCGCGAGCGCGAAGAGCGACGGCACGGCGATGCGCACGATGCGGCCGTCGAGGCCCGGCTCCGGCTCGCGGCCCGGCGGCGCGCCGGGCAGCGCCATCGTCTCGCCGGGCAGGCCGTAGTAGCGGCCGCGGCCGCTGCGCGTCGCCACGGCGAGCAGGCTCGCGGGCTTCTTGACCATCATGGTGCGAGCGGCGCGATCAAGCCTGGCTCATGCGCTTTTGCCACAGCAAAGCACTTCAAACTGCAAGTTGTTGCAGTTCTAAAGACTTGTGGTTTCGCCTAATCCGCGGGCTGGTCGGCCATCTTGCGGCAGCCCCGGGGCCTCGCGAGAGGACCATGCCGCCGCGCAAGGTGGGCGGCCTCGCCGTGAACGCGGCGCTGGAGCAGATGAACCTCGCCGCCGGCGGCAACGGCCTCGACGACACGCTCGCGAACATGGGCAGCACCATGTCGACGGGCGGCGTGTCCATCTCGCGGACCCGGGGCCTCACGGTCGACGGCGCGTCGCTCCCCGAGGGGGGGCGCGGGTCCCTGCGGCGCGAGGACATCGAGCTCGAGGGCGTGCTGGGCTCCGGCGCCTGCTCCGTCGTGCGCCTCGCGCGGGACCGCCGCGACCGGGACAGGCGCTACGCGGTGAAGATCTTCAACGTCTTCGAGGAGGCGAAGCGGCACCAGCTCGTCAAGGAGGTGCGCATGCTCTTCGAGCTCGACTGCTGCGCCCTCGTGAGCTTCCACGGCGCCTACCTCGACGACGGCGGCAAGGTCGGGGTCGTCCTCGACTTCATGGACGCGGGCGCGCTCGAGGACGTGCTCCGGCGGCGGGCCGCGGCCCTGCCGCCGGGGGCGGCGCCGGGCGTGCCCGAGCTTGTGTGCGCGTCCATCTGCTACCAGACCTTCTGGGGCCTGGCCTACCTCCACTACGAGCAGCGGCTGCATCGCGACATCAAGCCGGGCAACATCCTGTGTGGATTTCAAATCTTCAACCCGACTTCAATGTGAGCGTTGCGACCGTTTAGACGCGAGAACTCGATGAGAGCAATCGATTCGTCCAAAAATCAGCCGAATCGACGTCGATATGACCGTGCTAGAGATTTCTGAAGTTTGGCCCCGACGTCCCGGCTCACTGTTTGATTTCGGCACAGGCAACATCCTCCTGTCGTCGAACGGCGAGGCGAAGCTGTCCGACTTCGGCATCGCGCGCGACGTCGACGACGAGGACGCCATCGCGTCGACGATGATCGGCACGTTCCGCTACATGTCGCCGGAGCGGCTCCGGGGCGACGACTACAGCTTCGAGAGCGACGTCTGGTCGCTCGGCATGGTGCTCCTCGAGGCCGCGCGGGGCGCGCCCGTCTTCCCGCCGAACTGCACGCCCGTGGACCTGACGCAGGCCTTCAAGGTGAGCGCGGAGGCCTTCGTCGCGGACCACCTCCGCGGGTCCGGCGTCTCGGAGCACCTCACGCAGTTCGCGGAGGCGTGCCTCCAGCACGACCCCGACGAGCGCGCGATGCCCGACGACCTTTTGGACGGGCCCTGGCTCCAGGACGAGGCGCTCTGGGGCGGGCCGCCGTCGGTCGAGGCCGCGGCCGTCGCGCTCGCGCCCTTCCTCGCGGGCCAGGCGCGCGCCGCGGCCGCCGCGGAGCGCGTCGCGGCGCGCGCGCCGCGGCCGCCGCCGGCGCCGAGCGCCGAGGACGAGCTCGCCGCGTCCGCGGCGGACATGTCCCTCATGCAGACCATGTGCGGCAGCTCCGACGACGACGACGACGACGACGACCCGGACCGCCTCGAGGCGACCTTCGAGGGCGACGAGGACGACGAGGGCTAGGTGCGTGCCTTACGCGACCATGCGGTAGAGCGTGAGGCCCGTGTCGCGGCTCTGGAACGACGTCCGGCCCGTGTCGACGAGGGGCGGGATGGCCTCGAGGACGAGGCGCTGGTAGATGTGGAAGTCGGCCGTGACGACCCGGGCGTCCCCGACGTCGGCGACGCCGCCGAACTGGTAGAGCAGGCGGCCGTCCTGCGCCGGCGACGACGCCGCGCCGTGCTTGCCGCGCGCGCGCGGCGCGGCCTCGCGCGACACGTCCGTCCAGGCCGGCGCGGCGTCGTCGACGCGCATGGCCGCGTGCTGGTCGATGACGAGGCCCTCGCTGTCGAGGCCGCCGAGCGCGTAGAGCACGCCCGGCTTCGGCGCGTGGAGCTCGTGGCCGGACCGCGCGCCGCGCGCCGCGCCGCCCGGCGAGCTCAGCATCCAGGCGTCCGCGGCCCCGAGCGCGGCGACCCGGGTCCAGACGAGCTCGGGCACGCGGCTCGCGAGCTTGGCGACGTCGAGGGCCCAGGCGTCCTCGCAGAGCGCCGCGGCCGTCGCGTTCGTGCCGAACGCGTCCGCGCCGCCGTCGACGACGGTCGCCGCGCCGCCGTAGACGTAGAGCCGCTCGTCGCTCGTCAGCAAGCTCAAATCCGGGTCGAGGGTCGGCGCGTAGGACGCCGCGAAGGGCGCGAAGGCGCGCGGCGTCGGCGCGAGGCCCGAGCCCCCCGGCGCGACCGCGCGCCACCGCCCCGACGTCGTGTTGAGCACGTGGACGTCGCCGCGCGCCGCGACGCCCGTGCCGTCGACGCCGCCGAAGACGACCAGTAGAACGCCGTAGCTCGCGACGGACGCGCCGAAGCGCGGCGCGGGGAGGTCGCCCGCGACGGCGAGGCTCCCGCTCCAGGCCGCCGCGCGCTCGTCGTAGGCGTGGACGTCGCCCAGCGCCCGCTGCGCGCCCGACCGGGAGAACGCGTAATTGTCGACGCGCGGCAGGCCGCCGTCCTCGAGGCCCTCGGCGTCCGCGCGGCCGCCGTAGACGTAGAGCTTCGAGCCGACGACGGCCGCCCCGGCGTGCGCGCGCGGCGCGGGCCGCGGGCCCAGCGCGTCGTAGACCGCGCCGTCGCGGCAGCAGGACAGGCGCGCGAGCTCGCCGCTCCAGCCGCCGCGCCGCGCGTCGTAGAAGTGGAGGTCGTTGAGCAGGCGCTCGCCGCCCGCGCGCCCGTCCTCCTGGCGCCCGACGCCGCCGAAGACGTAGAAGCGGTCGCCGATGACGCCCGTGACGTGGAAGGCGCGCGCCCGGGGCTTCGCGTGGTCCGGCGACGCGACGAAGGCCTCGCCGAGGGCCGCGCCGCTGCCGGCCTCGTAGTTGGCCACCTGCTGGGCGTCGAAGCTCAGGGCGTTGATCACCTCCGTCGCCGTGTCGTCGATGGAACCGTAGCCGCCGGCGTGGACGTTCCAGGCCTCGAAGTCCGCCGCGGCGATCTCCTCCACGGGCTCGTAGCCCGCGGCGAAGCCCGCGAGCAGCGCGACGGCAGCCCGCATCGTGCGCTACCGAGCGGAACTTAAGTAAAGTTGCCTCGCTTGCCTTCTTCAAGGTAAGGTCGGACAAAAACCAGAAGCCTGGGCGTGGACTGGGGGGCTTTTCCTCGCGCCCCCGTCGTCGCGTGGAGACCATGTCGTCGCCGGACATCGACTACACGAAGACGCGCGCGGCCGCGTCCCGCCGCACGAGGAACGGCGGCGGCAGCCCCCCATCTCGGGGCTCCCCATCCGCGCCTCGTCGCGCGATCGACGCGCTTGTCCCCCGGCGCGCTCGTCGACGCCCGACCCGCAGGCGCTTCCCGTACCCGAAGAACCCGCCGAAGTTCGACCACTCGAAGACCGCGGGCGGCTACCGTTCGAGGCGGCGCCGGCGAACGCGCGGCCGCTTCGACGCGAGCGGTCGTTCGGAAGCGCGCGCCGAGAGACGATCGCTCGTCCGCGAACGCCGCGCCTCCGACGATCGCTCGTCCACGAAAGTGACGCGAGCGACGAGCGTCGGGAGCGCCTCGCGCGTCGCAGGCCTGAAGCACATCGACACGTGCCTCGGGTGCCAGAACCGCCAAAAGTACATCGAGCAGCTCGGGATCGACGAGAAGGCGCGCGGCGTCGAGTACAAAAAGGAGAAGGAGCGGCTCTCGGCGCTCTCCGTCGCGGAGCAGGACAAGATCTTCTGGGCCAAGTTCGGCATGACGGGCCCGCCGCCGCGGTCGACGTAGCGCGCGGCCGTAAAATCGACGCGGGCGCGTTTTTAGGGGGGCAGGCCGGCCTCGCGCTGCTCGAGGTAGAGCCCGAGGGCCCAGTTCGTCGTCGGCGTCGCCGCGGTGCCCTTGAAGGGCAGGACCTCGAAGGACGCGGTCTTCTCGAAGAGGAGCTCGAGGAGCGCGGCGACCTGGACGGCGTAGACGAGCTGCTTGACGGCCTCGGCGTCGTCGTTGCCCCGCGCGGACACGTTCGGGTTCGGGTTCAGCGCCTTCTCGAGGCGCGCGCGGTACGCGGCGACGGCGTCGCGCGCGGCGTCGCGCGCGAGGGGCCCCCGGACGGCGGCGCCGCCACCGGCGGCCGCGGCGCGCTCGAGCGTGTTCGACACGAGCTCGATGGTCGAGAAGGCGCCGTCGAGGCGCGCGAAGCCGCCGTCGCGCGCGAGCTCGTTCGCGACGACGCGCCGTACCGCCCAGTCGTGCATGCGCGCGCCCGCGGCCGCGCCGTGCTTCCGCACGAGCTCGTGGCCCGCGAAGGAATCAATAGCAAAAGACCGCGCGTCCTCCGGCGACGACGCGACCTGGACCGATTTGCCGCCGCCGGCGAAGAGGCCCGCGCCCGGGCGGACGAAGCGCACCGCCGCGAGCTCGAGCCGCGCCTCGGCGCGGCCGTCGAGCACGGCGAAGGAGAGGCCGCCCCGCTTGCCTCGTAGTACAGCCTCGACGTCGCGGCTCGCGGCGCCGAGGTCCCTGTCGCCGCGGGCCTTGAGCGCGTCGCGCGCGCCCGCGGTCCCGCGGACGTAGACGGGCACGCGCGCGCCCGCGAGCCCGTCGCAGGCGGCCGCGACGGCGCCGGCCCAGCCGTCGACGTCGCCGCCGGGCTTCAGCGCGTCGCCGAGCCGCAGCGGCACGCGCTCGGGGCCCGCGACGACGCGCACCTCGCCGTCGCAGCGCCGCGACCCGAGGCACACGCACCGCGTCGACCCGGAGCCCGCGTCGACGACGACGAGGCGCTTGTGCGCGCCGAGGCGCCGCTTCTGGAGGATGACGACGGCCGAGGCGCAGAGCGCCGACGTGCCCCAGGTCAGCGGCGACAGGACCATCGCGCGAGAGGCTGTGGAATCGAACCAGCCGGGCCAGCGCTGGCGCGAGTCCGCGGCCACCGGCGCAGAAGCCGACGAAGCCGTGATGGTGCCGTCGCTTCGCAGCTCTGTGGGCAGCCCTCGACGGCAGAGAAGTCGCCTCGTCGGCGGCCGCCGTCACATAATTCTCCCATGTCGTCCTTCGAGGCGCAGCCCGAGGCGCGGGACAGCATCACGCTGGCCTTCGAGGCCCTGGGCCGCCCCGTCGTGTCCGACGAGGACTGGCACGCGCTGCTCAAGCTGCTCAAGGAGGCCAAGGTCGTGGCGAGCGACTTCGACGAGCGCGTCATGAAGGCCGTGTGGCAGCGCAAGGGCGGCGGGCGGAAATTCACGCACGTCGAGCTGCGGAGCGGCGTCTTCGAGGAGTACAGCCGGCCGCGGCCCGGCGAGACGGAGGACGACGGCGGCGAGCGCCGCGCGCGGCTCGCGCGCGAGGAGGAGGAGCGGCACAAGGCCTTCAAGAAGGCCCACGCCGCCGAGGCCCGGGGCAAGTCCAGCGGCCGCTTCGACTACAGCGCGAACTGGGGCCACATCGCGGAGTCCGACGAGGACAGCGAGCGCGACGACGACATGGAGAAGGCGTCGTCCAGGGCAGCAAAAGAGAGCGAAATTCCCAACTTCAAAGGCTCATATCTCGGCCGTTTTCCACTCGTTTCGGCTGATTTTTGGACGAGCGATCATCTCTCGGAACGGTCTCGCAGCGTGGATGCTTTTGTCGGAACGCGCGCGCGCGGAACACTCACGTTGAAGCGACTTTGAATCACCCTTTTGCTGCCCAGGCCTCGTCCTACATCGAGAACCACCGGCGGCGGGGCAACGCCAAGTTCGAGGCCGGCGAGTACCAGGCGGCCATGCAGCAGTACACGGCGGCGCTCCTCAAGTACGCGGAGCAGACCTGGAAGATCGAGAAGAAGACGAAGGAGGGGCGCGCGGACTACGCGACCGTCGCGCGGCGGTCGCTGCCCGACGACGAGGCGCTGGCCAAGGTCCACGTGAACCGCGTCGCCGTGCTGTTGAAGATCATCGCCAAGAACGACGGCGACGCGCACCCGCTGCCGCCGCCGGCCGAATCGCGGCTGCCCGCGTTCTCCGCCGCGAAGCCGCTGGACCCCTACAAGCTCGTGCAGAAGTGCTTCCCGTCCAAGTACGACCGCCTCGAGCTTTTGCGATGCGCTTTACAGGACGCGGAGCGGGCCGTGGCGCTCCACGGGAAGAGCGCGAAGACGCGGTTCCGCCGCGCGCAGGTGCTGCGATTGTGCGGCCGCGCGACGGAGGCGCACCGCGAGCTGTCCGCCGCGTTCCCCCTCGCGCCCGAGGACCACGTGCTCTGCCTCGAGCTCGCGTCCATGAACGCGGACTTCCACGTCGCCTACGAGCAGATCCTGGAGACGAAGCAGGGCATCCGGCGCGGGCAGCACGCGCTCCGGTGCCTCTTCGGCCGCAAGTTCGAGGAGATGAAGAACGTGGACCTCAGCCAGAGCAAGCACGGCGACTTCATGCGCGTCTGGGCCATGTCCTACCGGAGCGGCCAGCGCGAGGCCCACATCTGGTCCGTGCTGAAGAAGGTCATGGTCGCCGCGGAGCAGTCCGCGATCCCGCGGCTCCGCGAGAAGTTCCCGGACTGCGCGGCGCGCAAGGCCGACGAGCTCACGGAGGAGCTCCACCAGCTGATCGCGACCATCGGCTCCGTCGAGTTCCTCTTCCCGGGCTGCTTCGTCGAGGGCGACTGGATGCCGAATCTGTTCTTCTGCTTCATGTGGAACGACACGGACCGCGCGGACTGGGAGGTGAAGAAGGGCAAGAAGGAGAAGATCAAGCAGAAGGAGGAGCGCCTCGCGCCGGGCACCTTCGGCAAGCGCCTCTTCGAGAAGGTCCTGAACCGCGACAAGACCGTGCTCTTCGACTTCGACGTCGACGACGAGTTCCAGCGGCCGCTCATCCGCGTCGCGACGCGCCTCTTCCGCTACCAGGTCGTGCTCTCCTTCTGCGTCGAGCTCATCAAGGAGGTCGTCGGCGAGGCGGGCCACGAGCCCGTCGAATCCCGGCGCCGGGCGGCCATTCCTTCGCGCGCCCGGAAACGCGCCCCGACGCCGCCGCGCGCCGCAGGTCAACGCGCGCGAGGAGCTCATCAAGGAGTGGAAGCAGCGCGGCCTCTACGTCGAACGAGCCGAGTACAACTACAAACCGCCGCCGAAGCAGATGCGGTAACGACGCCGCGGGTCTCGACGCGCGGCGGGGCGCGCGGGGCGCGCGATCTTCGGGACCAGGGGCGGGTTGATTGCGAAGGGGGCGAACGGTCCAGTAGGGAGGCCGCCACGGCCGGAAGTGCGGCGGAGGACAAGAAGCAATTCGTTTCAATGTTAACTCCAACATCTCAAGTTGCACCTGCGGTAAAATCTCAGCGTGTAGGCAGCCCTGAGTAAAAACTGGCCGGCCGTCGAGCTTTCCGGGGGCGCCCATGCGGACGCCGCTGCCCCCCGGGGGGCGCGGGACGCCCGGCGGGTCGACGCCCCGGAGCCGGGGCTCGACGCCGCCGTCCCCGGCTCGGAGCGCCGCGGGGTCGCTGGCCGACGCTTTGATGGTCGAGGAGGTGTATGACGACGACGGGCCGAGCAACCTGGGCCACCCGCTCTTCGACCTCATGCACCAGGACTTCTTCCTGCCCACGCTCTACGGGCTCATGGGCCTGCGGGAGTACAAGAGCTGGGCGAACTACGCCATGTCCTGCTACGGCTTCTCGTCGTTCATGCCGTTCGTCCAGGACCTCCGGTCCAAGGTCGTGCTCGCGCAGGAGATGGAGCGGAACGCGGCGCGGGCCTTCGTGCAGACCATGTCCGCCGTGACGACGCAGCCGTCGTTCCGCGTGCCGCGGCTCCAGACGGAGGCCATCGGCTGGATGCGGATGACGGAGAGCACGTCGCTGTGTGGAAACCAAATATTCAACCCGACTTCAATGTGAGCGTATTCGAATGTTTCGACGCAAGCTCTTCAGATGGGCTTCGAGGACTCGACGAGAGCGATCGATCCGTCCAAAAATCAGCCGAATCGACTTCGATTTGACCGAGCTAGAGAATTCTCAAGTCTGGTCAGGACCACCCAAACCAGTGGTTGGTTTCCACACAGGCACGTCGCGCCACGCGTTCATGTACGTGTTCTGCAGCTCCTTCCACGAGTCCGTCTTGCTCCTCCCGAGCTTCACGTCGCCCAAGCGCGACGCCGTGTCCGCGTCCATGTCCTGGATCCACGAGCTGCGGACCTACCTCGCGAAAGTCGCGATGCTCGCGCACGGCCGCCGCGAGGTGCTGAACGGGGGGCAGCCGACGAAGTCCATCGGGAACATGGCGGACATCGTGCAGCAGTTCGGCATGTCGAACTCGACGTGCATTCTGGGGACCATCTACTTCGAGCGTTTCTTACGGACGCTCAAGAACTCGCACTTTTTGCTCGTGGACTCGAAGTGGTTCCCCGTGTTCATGTGCTGCATGCTTTTGGCGGCCAAGGTCACGGAGGACTCGACGCACGGGCTCAACTGGAAGCTCGCGGAGATGCTCGCCAAGTACGAGGACATCGACAGCGACTCCGTGCTCCAGATGCTCAACCACCTCGAGAGCCTCATCTTGGAGACGATCGACTACAACATGTCCGTGCCCGACGACCTCAAGGTCGAGTTCGAGAAGCAGCCGGCGAAGGTCGTGCACTGGCTGCTGGCGTTTTTGGTTTATTGCGGCGCGTCGGAGAAGGAGCTCGCGGAGGGGTCGAAGCCGCACCTCGCCTACATCCGGAGCGTGCACCGCGTGCCCTTCATGAAGGACTTTTTGGACCGGTCCGTCCAGTTCCTCAACTCGCAGAACGACCTGGGCACCATGGACATGCACGGCGTCTTTGAAAACTTGCGGTTCAGCTTCGAGTCCATCGGCTGGGTCTCCGCGAAGCACGTCGCGCACTACGCGTGGATCTTCTTCGTGATCTTCGGCGCGACGCGCGTCATCTTCCGCATCATCTACGGCTACGGCTGCGCGTCGAACTGGGCCTGCGGCATGCGCATGGAGAACACGACGGTGTGCATTTTGGTCGCGGGCGCGTCGATCAACGCGCTCTGCACGAAGCGGCTCGTGTCGGACATCGACAGCCTGCGCGCGTGGCTCGTCGCCGCGACGGACATCTCGGAGATGTACACCGAGGGCGGCAAGGGCGGGCTCGTCATCGAGGAGACCGAGTTCGTGCCCCGCTGGGAGACGCAGGTCACGGAGTCCATCACGCCCTTCGTCGACGCGCTCCGGAGCAGGACGCTCTCCGCGGCCGAGAGCCTCAAGAACTCGGCGAAGAAGCGGCCGTCCCAGACCAAGGCCACCTTCGTCGCGAGCCTCAAGGAGACACTCTTCCCCTTTTTGTGATTGTGTGAAAAAAACAGCCCCTCTGGCGTTGCGTAACGTCGCTGTTCTGTGGTCTTTCCGCGGCGCCATCCGCGGGGAACGAGACCTCTCGCAACGTCGCTCTTAGAAAGCCTCCCGGCGCTCACGCGGCCATGGCGGCGTCGTCCGCGGCGGCGTCCGCGGGCGCGTCGTCGTCGCCGTCGCGGCGGAACTTGCTCCGCTTCGCCGCGCGGGGGTCCTCGTCGTCGTCGTCGTCGCGCGTCGCGCCGCGCGACGCGGAGAGGCCGCCGCCCATGCCGGTCATGACCTCGTCCTCGTCCATGGGCGCGCCGCGCTTCGCCGCGCGCGGCGGCGCGTTCGCGCGGGCCTCGCGGCGGCGCTTCTTCTTCTCCTGGCGGACGTAGGCGCGGCCGCCGCGCTTCGTCGGGTCCGGGTTCGCGTACGCGGGCTTCGCGTCGAGGACGTCGGACGGCAAAGCGAAGCGGCATAAGACGCGCGCGGAGAAGCCCGCCCTGCCCCACTTGTCGTTCTGCTTCTTCGCGATCTTGGCGAGGCGCCAGCCCCGGTCCCCGAGACCGCCGTCGGCGCCCTCCAGGGGCTCGAGGAGCGCCGGCGGCGGCGCGGGCACCGCCTCCGTGAGCGCGAGCCGCGCGCGCGCGGCCGCGTCCGCGTCCGCGAACCAGACGTTGACGGACGTGTCCCCGAGCCACTCCGTGTAGGTCGCGCCGTAGGCGGCGAAGTGGCCCTCGAGGTCGTTGCTCCGGAGCTTCTTGAAGGCCTTGCGGTCGCAGGGGAGCACCGATAGGTGGAGCCGCTCCGCGGCCGGCGGCGCGGCCCGCGACTCCGGCGGCTCCTCGCCGTCGGCCATGGCCGCGTCGCCGCCCCGCTCGGCCTGCGACCGGTCCGCGTCGCCGGCGTAGAGCCGCGCGACGTCGAGCTTGAGGGGCTTCAGGACCAGGGTCTCGAACTTGGTCCACGCGCCGCCCGCGTCCCCTAAATCGACGACCCCGAACCTCCCGAGGCGCTTCGCGCGCGCCTCGAACTCGCGGGCCTGCTCCGCGTCCTTCGCCGCCTTGGCCGCCGCCGCCTCGGGGTCCCACTTGGCCGCGCGCGCGGCGATCTTCGCCTGCTCCTCGGGCGACGACAAATCGAAGCCCGTCGCCAGCGCGAGCCCCTGCTTCTGCTTCATGAGGCTCTTCTTGTAGAGCGACCAGGGCATGCCCTCGGGGTGGCTCCAGGCCTCGGGCTCCGCCGGCGCCGGCGCGGGCGCGGGCTCGGGCGCGGGCTCGTCGCCGCCGAAGCGCGCCGCGCGCGACGCTTTCTTGGCCAGGAACGCGTCGCGCGCCTCCTTGGCCGCGGCCTCCTTCGCGGCGGCCGCCGCGAGCTCCTCGGGCGTCGGCGGCGCCGGCGGCGCCTCGACGGGGAGCCCGAAGCGCGCCGCGCGCTTCGCGCGCCGCTCGAGCTCCGCCTGGCGGAAGGCGGCCTGCTCCGCGGCCTTGGCCTCCGCCGCCGCGGCGGCCTCCTCCGGCGTCGGCTCCGCGGGCGCGGGCGCGGCCGAGGCTGAGGCCTCGGCGGGCTCTGCGACGGCGGGCTCGGCGTCCATCTCAGAGGTGCGAGAGCGGCGGCAGCTCGCGGCCCAGCCTGATCGAGCTGGGGCAAACGAGAGGCGCTCGCCGACCTCACGGTGCCGATCGAGGTCGAAGGCAGCCCCGTTGGTTTTGGCCTTCGGCGGAGCGTTCGGCCGCCGCCCGCGCCGCGGGCACCATGGGCGCCTGCTTCGGGTCCGAGGCCTACGAGGACATGTACGGCCCCATCCGCGACGACGCGGCGCCCGACAAGCCGGCGAGCGACATGTTCGGGAGTTTGCTGACGATGATGACGCCGACGGTCTTCGGTTCCAAGTTCACGGACCTCGCCTGCAAGGTGCTCACGGCGCCCCAGCGCCAGTTCTACAGCATCTCGGAGCTCGGCCCCGTGCGCTTCGACTGCGACGGCCTGTCCATGACGCGCGAGGACGTCGTGTTCAAGAACCGGCGCGGCGTCCGCATCCACGGGTCCTACTGGTCGACGGCGCGCGAGTGGAAGACGGGCGCGACGTACCTCGAGCCGCGGCCCTGCGTGCTCTACGTGCACGGCGCCGGTTCCAGCCGCGTCGAGGCCGCGGGCCAGCCCCTGCGCTGCGCCATCGCCGTCGGCGCGTCGCTGCTGGCCATCGACACGACGGCCGCGGGCCACAGCGACGGCGACCGCGTGAGCTTGGGCGGCGCCTTCGAGGTCGCCGACGTCGCCTGCGCCGTCGCCTGGCTCAAGGCCGACGCGAAGGTGAAGGACGTCGTGCTCTGGGGCCGGTCCGCGGGCGCCGTCGCCTGCTTGGGCTACGCGGCGGAGGCGGAGGCGTCGGACGGCCCGGGCCCGCGCGTCAAGGGCGTGCTCGCGGACAGCGCCTTCAGTGACCTCGGCGTCATCTGCGAGGACATGTTCGACAAGAAGGCGTCGGGCGTGCCGAGGGTCATGCGGTCCGCCGTCGCGAGCGCCGCCTACGCGGAGGTCAAGAGGGTCGCCGGGTGGGACCCGCGCGAGAACCGCGCGGCCGCGACCGTCGCCGCGATCCGCAAGACGCCCTGCCTCTTCGCCGCGGCCCTCGACGACGACCTCGTCGACAAGAAGCACGCCGCCGTCCTCGAAAAGAACTGCGCCTGCCCGCACAAGATGCGCTTCGAGCGCGCGTCGCGTCCGTCTTCCTTTTTTTTCCGTCTCGAGGCGGTGCTCCTAGGTTCGACGGCGGCCACAACTCGACGCGGCCCAAGATCTTCCTCGAGCGCGCCAAGACCTTCATCTACCTCCGGCTCCGCCTCGACCGGTCGCCCTTCGGCCGCGACATCCGCGACCACGCCAAGGAGGTCGCGACGCCGACGGAGGCGACCGTCGCGTCGCGGCCGAAGCTCGCGGAGATCTCGAACCGGGGCCGGTCCTCGTCCGCGGGGGCCACGCCCGCGAAGAAGGCGGCCTACGGCTGCCTCTCGCCGTCCTACGCGCACCGCGGGCCGCCCAAGGCGAGCCTGAGCGTGTCCCTCTGACCGACGACCGGCGGACCGGGCGGCCGCGCGCGCCCCCCTCTTTGATACCACTAACGCACGCCTTCTCTTAGCCTGCGCGTCCGAGACGCGCCCCCCTCAGTTCATGGACCGTGCCCGCTCGAGGACCTGGGCCTCGCGCTTCGCGCCCGTGAAGGCGAGGTCGACGCGCTCCGCCGCGCGGAGCTTGCCGTCGACCTCGTACGTCGTGAAGTCCATCTCGACGTAGCAGTCGTTGTCGCCGTGGTACAGGTCGTGGAACTCGGCGTTGGCGGATTTGCCGAAGCGGTTGCCCCAGGCGGCGACGTAGCGGAGGTGGTTCGGGTGGTGGAGCGCCCGCGCGAGGTCCGCGAGACCGGCGTCGTCGATGTCGTTGTGCGCGACGCGGAGCTCGTAGAGGCTGCACTCGTGGGCGACGGCGTCGGCCAGAGCCGCGGCGCCCTCGTCGCCGATGGCGTTGTGGCTCAGGTCCAGGATCTTGAGGGGCGGCGTGAGCGGGCCGCGGCGGCCCGCGGAGAGCGCGGACCGGCGGAGCGCGTCCGCCAAAGCCGCGGCGCCCGCGGACCGCACGCGGTTCGCCTTGAGGTTCAGCGCCGTGAGCGTCGGGTTCCCCTGGAGCGCCGTCGCGATGTGGCCCACGGAGTCGTCGCCGATGCGGCAGTTGCCGAGGCTCAGCGAGAGCAGGCGCCGGTTGAGGCCGAGCATCGTCGCGACGTGCTTCGCGAAGTCCTCGCTCTGCTCCGCGGCGAGCACGGCGCCGCCCACGTCCAGGTGCTCGAGGCAGGCGCCGTTCGTGCGCAGCGTCGAGCAGATGGCGATGAGCGCCGACGTGTCCAGGTCCGTGTGCGCGACCTTGAGGGCCTTGAGCGTCTCGAGCGACTCGAGCATCTCCGCGACGCGGTAGCCGCCCTCCTCGCCCAGCGGGTTCCAGGACAGGTCGAGGTCGACGATGGCCGTGGACTTGCGCACGGCGTCGGCGATGGCCTGGACGCCCACGGCGCCGACGGCGTTGCCCCGGAGGTCGAGCCGGTTGAGCGCGCCCGCGTAGCCCGTCGCCGGCTCCTCCAGCAGCAGCGTGGACAGCGCGGCGGCGCCGGGGTTCCCGATGGCGTGGTTCGGCAGGCTCACGACGCTCACGTCCAGGCCCGACACGACGAGGCCCGTCGCCAGCACCGTGGCGTCGTCGTCGTCGAGGGGCCGCGAGCACCGCGCGCCCTCGACGCGGATCTCGACGCGCGCGCCCTCGCTGATCTCCGGCAGCAGCTCCAGCAGCTCCGGCCGCCCCTGCTCCGCGCAGAACTGCGCGAACTTCTCCACCTGGTGCGCCATGGCCACCGGCTCACCGGGCCCGGCGACCGACGACGATGGTGAGCCGCGCTATCACCCTCGATCACGAAACAGCCCTGTATCATCTGGGCCCATGATGCCGTTCCTCGCCGGGGGTCCTGGGCTGCCCATCGAGACGATGTTTGAGTGCATGGACGCGCTCGATGCGTTTTACAGCGCCGAGGCGCTCGAGGGCACTTCTTCGGAGGAGCTGCGCATGTTTGTGGCGCGCACCAGCGCCATCTTAGCCCGCGCGGAGGAAGCGCTGAAAGCGCGCTCGTCCAAGACGCCTTATCCGTCGCGCCTGCCGCCGTCGCTCGTGCTCCAGTTCCTGCCGCTCCCGGCCGTCGCCCGGGCGTTGCGCGTCTCGACGACGTGGCGCGACCAGGCGGAACCGACGTTCCGCGCCGTCGCCGAGCGACTCGGTGCAGTTCGATCCGATTCGGCGCCCTGGCGCGACGCGCTGCGGTTGCATGTAGAGACGCGCTGGATTGGAGTGCTGAGTTCTGAGTTCCGGCATGAGGATGGATTGATGCAGCGAGCGCTCGAACATTCCAAGTGGCCTCGCACGTTTGTGAATCGCACCTGCGAAAGAGATATGATCGCCATTGGTCGTCCAACGGCGACCGAACCAATGGCGACCCTGGGTTTTGAATCGAGCACCGAGTGGGACCTAGTAATGACGAGACTCGAATCAGAGACGTCCGACGCTTGCGGCGTGGTCGTATTCGATGGCGATGATCCGGCGGTTCTAGCACACCTGGATCCAACGTTGCCACCGTGCGCGATGAATCTACAATTGCTGCATTCGAGCGTGCTGAAACTTTTCCTCTGGAACAGCGACTATAACAACTTCGGGCTTCCTTCCACCCTCAATGTGCGAGGTAAACTGGTCGAGATCCTCCCTTCAGATGAATTCTCCCGTGAGATGAATCTAGACCTCGAGGATTATGTATTCAGCTCGGGGGACACGCTGCGAATGTCGGCAACGCGCAACCACTCGGAGATGGTCTTCAGCCTGCTAAGAGAAGAGGCTCCAAACCTCTGGGTTTCAACCGTGCAGAGTTACCGTTGGCCGATTCCTATATCCTCCCGCCGCCTCATCATGGCGCCCGTCGCATTCATATTCGAAGGCTCTTCCGCCGAGATCCTTCGAACTTCCACTCACGAGTGGAAGTTCGGGTCGCGTTAATGGACACGCGTAGCTAGGTCGCCGGCGGATGCACTTAGGTGACAAACGCGAGGGCCGTGCCGAGGATGGAGCCGATGTTGACGCTGAGCCAGGCGATCTGGGACACGAGGGGCGCGAGGTCCGGCCCCGGCGCCGCCGCGTGGGCCCACTGGCTCAGCGCGACGAGCGTGAAGCCGGAGACCGCCGCGGCCAAAAAGTACATGCCGATGGGCTCCGCGTTCGACGCCGGCGCCCGCGCCGCGAAGACGGCCCGCGCGACGGCGCCGTAGGCCGGCGACAGCGCGACGAGGCCCAGGAGCGCCGCGCGGTCGCGCCGCGACGGCGCGGCGGCCGCGGCCGCGCCGCGGCTCGACGCCGCGTAGCGCCCGAGGAACGCGCCCAGGTTGCTGACGACCAACAGAATCGTCGCGAGGAAGGTGGACCAGAAGACCGCGGGCCGCTCCGGCGCCGGCAGGAGCCGCGGCGACTGCAGGAGCAGGTAGACGAGCGCGGCCTCGTTGAGGACCTGCGCGGCCGCGAGGGGCAGCACGCGCCGCAGCGCCCTGGCGTCCGACGGCGAGAAGCGGCCCTCGTCGCGCTGCGGCGCCGGCGACGGCGGCGGCGGCGCCGCGAGGAACCAGGGCAGCGGCGCGTCCGACCGCGCCGAGCACCGCCGGAGCGCGTCCAAATCCACGGAGCCGCGCGCGTGCGACAGCAGCCGCCCCTGGGACCAGGTCTTGGCCCGGCCGCGCCGCGCCGCCGCCAGCGCCCACAGACCGCCGCCCGGCGACGCGTCCTCGAGCGCGCCGAGGGACGCGAGGGACGTCGCCGACGACGCGGGCGACGGTTGCCCGAGCGCCGGCGCCGCGGGCGCCGCGTCCGCGGGGAAGTGGCGCTTGGCGAGTCGGCGCGCCTCGAAGCCCGCGGCGACGCAGGACACGAGGCCGAGCAGCGCCCCCAGGCCCGCGCCGAGCCGCGTCGCGCCGCGGACGCGCCGCGGGTTCGCCGCGACCGCCGCGGGCGCGACGCAGAGCAGCTGCGTCAGCGTCGGCACGAGTACGCCTAGACCCGCGCCCGAGAGCTGGGCCGCCGACGTGGACGCGCCCGCGTCGTCGCCGCCGAGTATGGCGCGGTCCGCGTGGCCGCCGAACGTCGCGCCGACGCCCTGGACGACCTGGGCGGGAAAAGAGTGATGCAACGTCGCTTCAATGTGGGTGTTCCGCGCGCGCGCGTGCCCAAAAAAGCATCCACGCTTCGAGACCGTTCCGAGGGATGATCGCTCGTCCAAAAATCAGCCGAAACGAGTGGAAAACGACCGCGATAGGAGCCTTTGAAGTCGGGAATTTCGCACTCTTTTCCCGCCCCGTGGACGACGGCCGTCGCCGCGCCGTTGACGGCCACGCAGGCGACGAGCGCCCGCTCGAGGCCCGCGGGCCCGCCGCGGCGTTCGACGTCGACGCCGACGATGGCCGCGAGCATGGCGCCGTTGAAGACCGCCGCGAACGCGAGCGCGGCCTGCAGGAGCCACGCGCAGGTCCGCGGGCGGTCGAAGGGGCTGCCCGGGCGCGCGCCCGCGGCCGTCAGCGACAGCAGGCACGACAACAGCGCGACGTTGTGCGCGAGGCTCAGCTCCCGCAGCACGCCGGCGCCGAAGAGGCTCCGCAGGTACGCGACGCCCATGACCACGGCGTTGAAGGTGATGGAGCTGCCGCAGCCGATGCGGAAGAAGGACGCGCGCAGCGCGTCGGCCTTTTTCCGGCGCTTCGCGAAGGTCGCCGACGGGCGTTTTGGTGCGAGCAGGTTCGACTGCTCCGACGCGGGTGCGCATGCGGCCATGCTG